GGGTGCTGTAGGTGAGGGGCTGGCAGATGGCCAGGTAGCGGTCATAGGCCATGACAGTCAGCAGGAAGCAGTCTGCCCCAGCCAGGAGGTGGAAGAAGAAGAGCTGTGAGAGGCAGGCCCCATAGGGGATGCTTCTGTCATTGGATAGGCATTGCCTCAACATGGCAGGGACGGTGACAGTGATGCACCCAACATCCAGCAGGGACAAGTTCCCCAGGAAGAAGTACATGGTAGTGTGGATTATGGGTTCCATAAGGATGGCAGCAAGGATGCTGAAATTGCCACCAATAGTAGCTACATAAGCAGGAAGGAAGATGACAAAGCGCATGGGCTGTAGGGCTGGAGAATCTGTTAGGCCCAGCAGGACAAACTCAGTCACAAATGAATCATTTTCCGAGACTCTCAATTCCATCTCTCTACCACCAGCAGCAGCCTGAGCAATGTTAAGAGGTGCTTATTGTGGCCAACATTGAATGACATCTTGATAGCAACCACCAAGTGTAGCAATGTCAGGAGAGGCCAGGTTGCTAACACACAAATTAAGGGGAAGAAAGTTAAATATTGAGACATATTAGGAAAAGGCTTGATAAATGTAACTCTTAATGAATAAGAAAATGGCATTGGTGAGACTCAAAAGAGATAGATGAACTGATGTAAAATTCTTAATTAGAGAATAAATGTGATAGTTGAAGGTTAGAGGGAAAGTCAATTATCTGAAGCTATAGTTCCAGAAAAGGAATTACAAGTCTTCAGATGATGGATTGGCCATAGTCTGGGTATACAATATGGCAGAGGACAGAAAACATCTTCAAGAGATGGGGAAGGCATTGTTCCACCAACCTGTCATCATATAGTCATCCCTTGCTATCCTCAATGAGTCAGTTTCAGAAATTCTCAGATGCCATACTCTGGGGATATGCAAATCCTAAAAAGAATATGACATAGCATATTCATATGAATTGTGTACCTCCTTCCATACACTGAAAATTCTCCTTATACTGATTATAACACCTAGTGTAATATACACACTGGTGACCTGTAAGTATCTTTAACTCCAAAGTGGTCATTCTAATATAATAAACAGTGATCCACCTCAACTTTTGGCTGAAGGGTAAACACTAAGGAACCTATTTCACAGAAAAAAGGATATAATTGGAGAAGCATAAGAGCAAAAGCCATGAGCAGAGGAAAGTACTTCTACATTAACAATGTCCTTAGGAGCAAAACTGGTCAACCCACCATGGAAGGACTAGACTTTTTGGCATGGACTTCTTGTTACCATGACCTCAAACTCTATTTCCAAAGCTGAACTGCTTCTTTAATCTGACCTCCACTTTACCCCATCCTCCCATTTACTGGGGCTTGAAAACTTATTTTTCACTGTCTTTTCCCTCTCTCCACTCTCTCACTGTCAAGCATCTAAGTTCCACTGAGGCTTTCGGGGTGGGAGAGAAAAGCTCACCCATGAGAAGGGGTAAACTTCATATCCATGCTAAGCAAGTTGTGAGCTTGCAGGAAGGGGTCTGGGAATGGCACTCACCTCATTAAGGGAACGAGCACTTCTTGAGCAAAGTAGAGAAACAATCATGTCATGGCCCACATAGGGGAGAGCTTATGAATGCCAGATAGACACAGAGACAGACAACTTGGCTGGCATCATTGCACACTGGGATTTTTTGGTTCGTTTTTTTCCCCCCTTTTGGAGGCCTCAAAAATTAGTGCCCTCCAGGGGAAGCTATAGCCAGGTAAACATCCATTTTAATCAAACACATAATGATGTCTCCTGCCTTTGAAGTGTTTTGGAATATCTTACAACATTTTCAAGGGTCATCTTCATAGATATGGCAAAATTCATTCTTTTGTTTTATCGAATATATTTTTAGGCACTTACAAACCAGTGGTTTTGTTTCCAACATTTTACAGAGTTAAAATGAATCTCAAGCATTTTACCATCTAGGTTACATCACAGTGTGTGGAAAAGGGGTGAGGTTTGAGTTCTGTGGCTTTGACAAGTTCATCATTTTAGTGGAAGAAGGAAGAGGAAAGAAGTAGTGACTTTTGACTTTCTGGAGTTTCTTGCAGCACAAGGCTGAGAGGAGCGTGGAGCCTGGGACTGGTCTGCTGCTGTTTCATCCCTGGAGCAGTGCCCTCCACAGCCATTTGCAAAGTCACCTCAGATTATACTTCACTTTGCCATCCTCAAACCTGTCTTCTCTTCCAGTCACCAACAAATGCCTTGCTTTTTTCTCAACTCCCACTGCAGAATCCAGACTCTACCGTACTGACCATGAATATTTCCCAACCTCTTAGCTCCAACACTATAAAGGCATACAAAAGTTAAGAGCATCTTCTAGACCAGGACCACCATACTTTCAGTAACTCCTGATGGTAGCTTTAGGCATCAAGTAGGGTTTCTAATAGTTCTGACCTTATTAACAAAGCTTCCTCACTGTTTTAAGGCTGTCATGATCTGAGCAGGAGTTCCCAGAAAATTTAAATGAGTTGATATTTCTTCTGATGATAGTTATCTATCAAACAAGATCTCTAGGTTACAGAGCCCACATAGAACTCCTCCAATACACCTTCTTCCCCTAGCGTACAATGGCTAGGTTTGCTTCCTAAAAAGTCTGCATTTGCTACACACCGTTAACCCAGGAAATTTTATTCTTAAAGACCAACTGTAGGTTCCTGGATGGATACCAGAAGCGCTCGTTGCCAATGGTGATCACCTGGACATTGGGCACCTCGTAGCTCTTCTCCAGAGAGGAGGAGGACGCGGCGGTGGCCATCTCCTGCTCAAAGTCCAGGGCCACGTAGCAGAGCTTCTCCTTGATGTCACGAACGATCTCCCGCTCGGCCGTGGGGGTGAAGCTGTAGCCGTGATGCGTCGGGATCGTTATGAGTAGTCAGTCAGGTCCCGGGTAGCCAGGTCCAGACGCAGGACCGAGTGGGGGGAGGGCGTGGCCCTCGGAGATGGGCCCCGTGTGGGTGACCCCATCGCTAGGGTCCACAACAATGCCGGTGGTGCGCCCAGAGGCGGACAGGGACAGTACGGCCTGGATGGCCACATACATGGCTGGGTGTTGAAGGTCTCAAACATAATCTGAGTCATCTTCTCTCGGTTGGCCTTGGAGTTCCGGAGGACCTCTGTCAGCAGCACTGGGTGCTCCTCGGGGGCCACACGCAGCTCGTTGCAGAAGGTGTGGTGCCAGATCTTCTCCACGTCGTCCCTGTTGCTGACAGTGCCGTGCTCCATAGGGTACTTCAGGGTCAGGATGCCGTGCTTGCTCTGGGCGTCATCGCCCACTTCGGCGTCCTTCTGGCCCATGCCTACCATCACGCCCTGGTGCCAGGGGAGGCCGACGGTGGAAGGGAGCACAGCCCGGGGCGAGCGGGGGGGACATTGTCGCCAGCAAAGCCACCTTTGCACACTCCGGAGCCATTGTCACTGAGGAGCTCGGCGCTTTCTTCTTCCATTGTGATCTGCTGCGGTCGGGCAGCAGAGCAAGGAGAACGTGGAGCATGGGCCTGTGGTGGCGACTGAGCCTTGAATGTATTTTCTATCAACAACTTAGATAAACTTTAACTAAGCTGTATCCTTTTTCTTCAGTCCGAGTCAAACCATATTCTATTCTGAACTATACTAGCTGCTTTGCCCTCATCCTTAGATAAAATCTCTGAACTTTTTTTCTGTCCACATCTAGGCTTCAGTATAAAAATTTCAGGGGGTGCTCAGGAGGGTGGCACATTTTGATACCCCATCCAGTCTTCTCACCATGGAAGGCTCTGCTCTGTCAGCACCCCCCTTCAACGTGCCCTGTACATTGGGGTTCTGGAGGCTGTAGATGCCTGAATTCAGTATGGGGCTGAGGATAATATTAAAGATTGCAATCTTTTTGTCTTTATCTGAGTCTGAGACAGAGCCCAGACCAGTGAGCTACATCCTCAGCCCCTTTCTATATTTTATTTTGAGGCAGGGTTTGGCTAAGTTGCCTGGGCTGAGTTCAGATTTGTGATACTCCTGCCTCAGTCTCCCCAGTACAGAGATTACCTATATGTATCACCACATCTGAATTCCATTTCATTTTTATTGCTTCATAGATGCATGATTCCTGGGATGATCTAGGAAGTTAAGAGGGCAAAAAAATATATCCTACAATTTTAATTCTCAGAGGAATACAATAGTGTCCAAATGAACAGATATTAGAAGAGCAAAACTGAGGAGAAGATGAGTTTATCATATGTTTGAAGTGCAAGGCATATGTATGTATCACTAGACTACTCAATATTTCCATCTGAAATTTGGAAATCAAGAGTCATCAGGGAGGATAAAATCTTTAACATGAATGAGATAATTCAGGATTCCTTTATTGAAATTAGCAAAATTTCCCAAACTACAAATTATTACTACATTTAGTGGTATTTGTATATGCTTAACTCCACAGAATTCTTCCATCTTCATGTTGGCCACTAAGAATGTCATTGCCTATAACAATATTGCTGAAAGATATCTCCAATGAAAATATTATATAATAATAAGTCACATTGCTCTAGCACTTTGTTAGACTGCTTTTTGTGAGGAAAGAGACTGAGCTTTTCTCTGTGTACCTAAGAGTCTGGCACAGTGCTTGGCATGGAATAGGACATCAGTTAGCATTTGTTGGGTGAATGAGTAAATGAGTAAATATAGATAGACAGACAGATGATGGACAGATGGACAGACAGACACACCGACACATAGATTAAAACAATATTAGAGTATTCCAGGTATTCTTGGTTTTCAGTGCTTAAAACTATTCTAACCAGGCTGGGGATTTAGCTCAGTAGTTTCACCGCCTGCTGCGCAAGAGCAAGGACCCGAGTTCGATCCCCAGTACCAAAAACTATTCTAACTGCTAAATGCCTCAGCTTTTATGATAAGCAGTGTAAATTCTATTAAGGCAGGGGTAGTGAGTAGATATTTTTTCACTACACCTGGACAAAGAAATACATGCGAGGCAGCAGTTACCTAGAACCCAGTATTTAGTTATTATATTCTACCATTATTCTTTCAATAACTAATAAGTACTTTCTCTTAATAAATACATCACTACATAAATATCAAACATCTCTGTTGTTACTGTTTTGTTTTCTCACATCTCTTTGGATCTCATTCCTTCAAGTGTCTTTGTTCTGAAGCAACTGAACCACCTTCCCTTTTGTTGGTGTTTGCCTCCAATCATATAGACACACAGTTCCTGTCATGTTTCAACAGAACTAAAACAATTCTGTCTCCCTTAATATTGTTTCTCCATTGGCTACCTTACTATGTCCCATCTTTCAATCTGGCTACATTCCCCAGAGTTGACTTCATCTGCAGGCTACATTTGTTGACCTCCCACTCACTGGTTCTCCTCACTCACCCATTGCCTATTGCACCACTGCTCTCGAAGCTCCCTTGAGGACGCCACACACTGCCTGGGTGATGTCACCCTTCATTGACTTGGCCACTGCCCACTTAGGTTTTAAGAATGGCTCAATCTCCATTTCTTCATTAGTGAGAACACTTCCAAGTGTATAAGAAAACACACAAATATCTTACTGATTTATGTATACACCATATTTATAGAAAATATTTTTCTTGCAGTGCACTTTAAATATATGTATATTTAATTTTTCTAATGATTAATTTCAAATTAAGGAAGTGCTAGTTTCAATGTTAGCCTATTGTGCTAGCAAAGACAGAAGTAGTGGGTAATTGAAATTGTCATTATTCAACTTTTTCTGCGGGCCTCTCTGTTTATAAAGCAACTCTAATAAATTTGTTAATATATATGATTAATAAAAACTTTTAAAAATATATACTAAATATCAATAATAATTATCTCCAAGTGATGAAACTGTGGATAACTTATTTTAATCTTTTGTACTTCTAATTTTTAATAAGCATGCATTTTATTATATTATCAAAACAGTTGATTAGCTCTGTGTGTTGACTACATGAAATTTCTTTGTTCTACACCATGTGAATGGGGTTCATTTGCACTTTAAGTTGAAGTAAATGTTCTCTATTCAGTCAGGATTTTCACATATGAGCCCAACCTCTTTCTGTAATTTATTTTATGGTGTTGTTAGCCCAAAACAAAAATACTTTGTCTTATGCTCATGATTGTTCTAAACAGTGCCTATTCCTTCAGAATTGGGTTTTTAACTCTGGTTTTTTGTTTTTTTGTTTTGTACGAGATATCAAACTCGGGTCCTTGTGCTTGCAAGGAGGGTGGCATAAACACTGAGCTAAATTTCTGGCCCCTTAACAATGTTTTCTTTTTATTCATTTATTTTTAAATTGACGTGCAGAAATTCTCTCAAGCTGTAAGCTCTCCTTGGGAAAAATTCAAATTTGTGAAGGAAACAAAATCTTCTCCATTTATATTTTCATTTATATAAAAGGATTTCCCCATCCCACTGATATTTCCGTTCTTATATCATTCTTCACTGCCCATCTTACCTCTTTACCTTACCATACCTATCCTCCTTGAAATGATGTATTACTCTTGAGGAGCAATAGTTTGAGATACAATTTCAGCCAGGGTTGAGTTTCCAGCTCTGACATTCACTACCTATGCCACTTTAGGCAAGTAACTTATCGTCTACAAGGTTCAGTTTCCTAGACTATAATTTGTAAATCTTTATCTATTTCATAAAGTTATGAGGATTAAATGAGTTCATAAAGGACCAGACACATAGAAAAGTGCCTGGCACATACTAATCACAATGCAGGAGGTATCTAGCATATTTTATTCATCCTTTCATTTCTAAGTCAATCCCTCATCCCACTCCAACAAACCAGGACTCTATTAGTATTAATCACAGTAACACCTGAAAGCAGTAATGGAGCCATTGTATTCATTAAGGCAAGGAGAAGGAAATTTCACTTAGAGACTACTTCCCTATGAACATCCTCTTCAAGGCACTCTTCACATCAGGGTTCCTCAGGCTATAGATGAGTGGGTTCAGCATGGGGCTGATGACAGTGTTGAATATACCAATGCTCTTGTCCTTGTCTGAGGTCTCCACTGAACCAAGCCTCATATAGTTGAAGGCGCCTGTCCCATAGAAGATGCTCACTACAGTAAGGTGGGAGCTGCATGTGGAGAAGGCCTTCTTTCTGCCTTCAGCAGAGCGGATTCTCAAGACTGCAGCTACCACATGGGTGTAAGACACAGTGATGAGGAAAAATGGGGCCACACCCATAAAGGCTGCTGCTACAAAGAGCAACTGTTCATTCAGTTGGATGCTGGAGCAGGAGAGCTGGAAGAGCTGAGGGAGGTCACAGTAAAAGTGATTAATGACATTGGGGCCACAGAACTTCAGGGTGGACAAGGCAACAGTTTGAGTCAGTGAATGGGTGAAGGAAAAGACACATGACATGCCCACTGAAGCTTTCTGGATTCCCAGGCCCATGTGGGTGCTGTAGGTGAGGGGCTGGCAGATGGCCAGGTAGCGGTCATAAGCCATGACAGTCAGCAGGAAGCAGTCTGCCCCACACAAGAGATGGAAGAAGAAGATCTGTGAGAGGCAGGCCCCGTAGGGGATGCTTCTGTCATTGGATAGGAATTGCCTCAACATGGTAGGGACAGTGACAGTGATGCACCCAACATCCAGCAGGGACAAGTTCCCCAGGAAGAAGTACATGGGGGTGTGCAGTTTGGGCTCCATAAGGATGGCAGCAAGGATGCTGAAATTGCCACCAATAGTAGCTACATAAGCAAGAAGGAAGATGACAAAGAGCATGGGCTGGAGGGCTGGAGAATCTGTTAGGCCCAGCAGGACAAACTGAGTCACAAACGAATCATTTCCTGAGACTCTTAATTCCATCTCTCTACCACCACCAGCAGGCTGAGCAACATTAAGAGGTTCTGATCATGGCCAATGTTGAATGAGGTCTTGATAGCCACCACCAAGTGTAGCAATGTCAGGAGAGTCCAGGATCTAAGGACACACACAAATTAAGGGGAAGAAAGTTAAATATTGAGGCATAGTAGGAAAAAAATTGATTACTCTAACTCTTAATTAATAAGAAAATGGCATTGGTGACACTCTAAGAGGTAGAAGTACTAATATAAAATTCTTAATTTGAGAATAAATGTGACCCTTGAAGGTTAGAGGGAAAGTCAATTATCTGAAGCTATAGTTCTAGGGAGGGAATTACAAGTCTTCAGATGATGGATTGGCCATGGTCTGAGTATACAGTATGGCAGAGGACGAAAAAGATCTTTGGGCCGTGTACTTAGCTCAGTGGTTTCTCTGCCTGCTGCACAATTGCAAGGACGGGAGTTCGATCCCCGGTACCAAAAAAAGAAAAAGATCTTCAAGAGATGGGAGAGGCATTGTTCCACTAACCTGTCATCATACAGTCATCCTTTGCTCTTTTCGATGAGTCACTTCCAGAAATCCTCAGATACCATACTCTGTGGATACTCAAATCCTGAACACAATATGACATCACATATTCATATAACCTGTGTACCTTCTTCCATATACTGAAAATTGTCCTTATGTTAATTATACTACCGAGAGTAATATACACACTTGTGGCCTATAAGTATCTTTAACCCCAAAGTGGTCATTCTAATAAAATAAACAGTGATCCACCTCAACTTTTGGCTGGAGGGTAAACACTAAGGAACCTATTTCACAGAGAAAAAGATAAAATTGGAGATGCCCAAGGGCAAAAGCCATGAGTGGAGGAAAGCACTTCTAGATAACAATGTCGTTAGGAGCAGAACTGGTCAACCACCATCGAAGGACTAGCCTTTTTTGCATGGACTTGTTGTTACCAAGACCTCAAACTGAGTATTTCCAAAGCTGAACTGCTTCTTTGATCTGACCTCCCCTTTAGCCCAGCCTTGTGATCCTAAATTTATTGGGGCCTGAATACTTATTCTTCACTGCCTTCATCCTCTCTCCACTCTCTCACTGTCAAGCATCTAAGTTCCACTGAAGTTTTCATGGTAGGAGAGAAAAGCTCTCCCAAAAGAAGGGGTAAACTTCATATCCATGCTAAGCAAGTTGTGAGCTTGCAGGAAAGGGTCTGGGAATGGCACTCACCCCATTAAGGGAACGGGTACTTCTTGAGCTATGTAGAGAAACAGTCATGGCATGGCCCACATAGGGGAGAGCTTATGAATGCCAGATAGACACAGAGACAGACAACTTGGCTGGCATCATTGCACACTGGGATTTTTCTCTTTCTTGTTTTTTTAATCCTTTGGAGGCCTCAGCAATTAGTTCCCTCCAGGGGGAGCTATAGCCAGGTAAACATCAATTTTAACCAAACAAGTAATGTCTCACACCTTTTAAGTGTTTGGGAATTTTTAAAAATTAATTTTATTGGTATATTTTATGTATGTAATATAATGATATTTGTCATTCCAGAGTTGTACCCTTACGTAATATATCTTGATTTTTCTTTTTCCCCATTCTCCTACTCTCCCATCAACCCCTCCACTCCTCATTTACAATAACTGTTTCCATTTTCCCCTCTCTCATACTAATTCCATTCCCTTCTTTTTTTCCCTCCTCCTTTCACTTCCCCTTCCCCTTCCTCTTTGCACCTTGTTTTCCTGTTTCACATTATCTATTATACATTTTGATCCTTATTCACACTTTCAGTTTTTCACAACAGAGAAACTATTTAGTACTTGCACATGTGTGTCCTATTTATTTCATTTACATGTATGGCCTCAATGTACCTCCATTTAGTTATAAATGTCTCTAATTTCTCATTCTTTATGGCTGAGTAGTACTCCATTTTATAAAAAAATACAACACATTGTCTTTATCCAGTTGCCAGTTGATGAACAATTGGGCTGTTTCCAAGTTTTAGCTATCACAAACT